AGAAAAGTTTTAGAACTCTGGTTTCATGTATAGTAACTTGGAACTCTGTCATATGTCAGTGTTTTTGCGAAATCATCTTGAACACATAACTTGAAGAATGCTGTCAATGTTGTATCCCGCGGGTTATTAACAACTTCTTGTATATTGTTCTCAGTGAAATATATTCTTTGTCCATTTTCTAAATAAATTGCAAGGTGGACAATTGTGGGATTCCGGTCGTGTCCTTCGAATCATAAAATCCTCCATACAGCTTCAAAGCCGTAAAGACTATGACTGATATTTTTCCACTTCATTTGGTGATTGTATGCTGAAAGTGGCTTGATTACTGCCTTTATTATGTACTTAGTAACATATTGAATTGACTTTATTGAATTGCACAACTCTATGTTGATTTGGGCATCAAAAATGTTCAAAAGGAGCGGATTGTAGGGAACGATCCATCGGTTATCAATATTATGTTTTCGGATGGTAGCATTTTACCCACCCTGTTCTGGCGATCTTCGATGATATTTGGGATATCTGTCATCCCTAGTACTTGTTTGAGTTTGGAACGTCTTCGGAAAATTTTTGCTGCATTTGGAATCTCGCATACATGGAGAATTCGGGTTTAAAGTCCCGCAAGGGCCGTGTACCATATGTTTCTTTACGATTTCGTACAGGATAGGATCTTCATCTTTATCCGGTAATTCAGCTGAAATAGCCCTGTCAATTTGGTTTGGTCTAATTTTGTTCACTAACCACACCAGCAGGTGTACATGTGGCAAGCCACGTTTTGTCATTTTATTTTGTACATATACCAGTGCGGTTAACCGAATATATAAGACTTATTAATGAGGTGCAGGAGTTTCTGCACTTTTAAATGGAAGACTCTATTAACGATATCGTATCTGTGTTGTGGAGTTAAATTTGTGTTAATATTTTTTTTGATTTCCGGCCCATTGGGGTTACATGTTGCAGTTATAAATAAATCAGGTTTGCCGTAATTTCTGACATAAGTAATGGCGTTTTGCGATTTTTAAAGTTAATATCGAGATCCACCTGTGAATGATGAAGGTAGTATAACCAACTGCGCAATGCCGTTGAGGTGTTCATTCGCCCTTAAAGCATCCTGAAGATGAACGTAATTTTCAGCTCTCAATTTAGTTTGATTATTTCGGATGTACGCTAATCTCTCAAATTCAATTCTCGCATATTGATCTACCAATATTGGGTTTATTAACATTCCATATCTAAGCAAAGTGTTGAAATTGTGACGTCTTGTTATTATAATAAATAGCATCAATGGATATTGTAACACTAAAATTTTTGGCAAATTATCATCACGACTATGCAATACAACATCTCTTATGTCAAATTGCTGTACAGCTATCACCACTGCTACTTTACTCGAAGGCGCATCGTATCGTCCTCTGTGTTCTCCAACAGGAACTTTATTTGCATGTATTACGACATTAAGGTCAGGAGTATCTGCTGGAACACTCTCAATCGCAGTTTTAAAAGACTGTATGTAGCAATTATGAGAATGTAACATATCCAGAAAAGATCTAATCAAATATCTGTCAATTGGCTGTGCAATACTTAAACACCACGTAGATGCTTGCGTATCTGGATCTGCAATAAAATATATTTGCAGAAATTTGTGATCAGCGGGACGAAGTGGTAGCAAGCTCCCAACTAAGTGGTACACTTGAACTTGATTTTTAAATGTAGGCATGAACCCACGCTCAACCACTTGCTTACTCTTAAAAGAGGTCATTTGAAATGCGTTATTATAACGGCGTATATTGCGCATGAATTGTTTGGATTTCTGAAGATCACCCGTAAGAAGAGAGTGAAGTGGTTCAGGTAGAGAGAGAATTTCTTCTAATTTGACTTTTCCTTGTAAGCAACACATGCCTTTCGATTCGTTCTTGAATTTCAATGCCAAGCAATGTTCACACACTACTGTCATAGTAGCTTTTGATACTATACGATCGTCCTTGTCAGAAATCAAAGAATCGTAATTCATAGCAGAATTTTAATTTATTTACCCACGAATTAGAAGCTCTAGCTGATGATTTGCTGGCTCTATGTATTCGATGTCTATCCCTATCTCGGCTGCGGCGAACCTTACGCTCTACTGAAGGTTCTCTCTCTCTAAGCTCTATATCTATCCCCAGCCTGACTGAGACGAGACTCTCGTTCCATTGACGATTCTCCATCTCTTACTAAACGTACTCTTCTGACAATCACTGTACTACGAGCTATGTTCGAACGACGACGTCTTCCAGACATGACTTTGTAATTTCTGTACAAAATTTACTCAGTTCTATATGCCTATGCACAATTTTAAAATTTTAAATATTTGTTAATTTAATAAAGAATATTTTACTATCTCAAACCAAATATACTTTTATTGTATACAACTCTTCATTCGTCTTTCAATTATAATGACATTACCCACACATTTTAGTATTCGTTTTTTTTTTAATATTTTCTAAAAATAACGTGTATGGCAAAACAACGTTTGCCGGGCCAGCTAATATACATATATATTATATATAATATATAATACTATTAAATGAAATATAATATAATACATAATAATTAATAACATTTTATTTTTTATACTCTTGCAACATGTTGCTATAGCCTAAAAATTATCCAGTTTGATATAGGATTATATACATATAAAAGATTTGGACAACGAGACGAGTTAAAAACCGAGTTAGTGTTTGTCTGTCCGTCTATCTGTATAAGCTGTAACTTGAATAAACTCGTGTTCCTTGGCAGAAAAGAAAGGACGAGTTTGTAATGGGCTAAATCGGAGCACTTCTACACCCACAAATAAGATATAAAACCCTTGGGCTAAAAATTTAAAAAAAAAACTAGCGTGGCCCGCCCTCTAATAAGTTTAATGCATAGATTATTTAACAGCCCCTAACCACAGCATAAAAATGGATGAAATCGGACTATAAATTGAACTTTTAAGTCATTATGTATATAAATTCACGATACGATAGAACAAAGTATTGACAAATAATAAAAGCCGCGTGGTTATTATTAAAAATGTATTATTGTATTTATTTATATTTAGACTAATATCTTAAAATTTTCAAAGATCGGGCACTTTTTACCCCAATGCTGTCTTTGCATTTTTTCTTCAACGTCATAGCCGCTTTTCTTCACTTTTCTTACAATATTTTTTAGAAAAACGAGTAGTTGCATAGTCTAGGTCCCCCAACAAAAAGGCTGCGAAAATTATATTTTATTTTAAATCGTCTTATTTTGAGGCAAAAATGAGAATTCCGTGAGCGGAAAGACAATTTTTTCAAAATTTTTTTGTTTTTTGGAATTTTTGCAAATAAAAATTAGAACATTAATTTTTACGAAAAAATTAACACACTTTGCACATGTTATTTTGCGTCAAACTGGCTATTTACATACATGATAGCTTGGAAACATATTTATTAGTTTTGGTGAGACTATAGATTCTGCTCGAATTCTCGAATCCTAATGGGGCAAATTTTATTAGATGTTGAACTACTCTTCCGCCCATTCTCGTTATTTCAAAGTGGGCTTATTTTGTTGGCAGTTGTAGCCTATTTTGTGCCAAAATCAAGTTCATTAATATCGTTATTTGCTTATCGACCAATATTTTTGCCTTTTTGTATCTTGATTGAAGAGCTTCCCAAGCCAAATTGAGACTGTCGTCATTTAGTGCGAACTGTTTGACTATTACGCCTGCTTGACCTTTTGTTTTGTATCGGAGGTGATACAATTTTTGGGGAGAAACCGTCTCCTATGGGGACGAAACCGTCTCCGCCCAAGGGTGAGGAGAAAAATTCCGGGGGTGTCCGGCTTACCATCACTAGGGGCGGTAACGCAGGGGGAGTGGGCAGCCGACCTGACACCTTGGGCAGGGCAAAAGTTCGCTGCGGAATCGCCAGCACTAGCAGAAGAACCTCTGTTAAGTACATAGGGGGCGCGGTGTCCTCAGCGAAAGCTAAGGGTTCCGGGGGGAAACGCCTGACCACAGCTAAAAAGCTGAAGTCGCACCGTCGGCTGGCTACCAAGATTTTGGAGCGTTACGGTGGCAAGCAGGATCAGATTTCTGATCAGCGTGCTAGCACACTTGAGTGGGCCAAAAGGGTGCTAAGCGACGTCAATGACAGGAAAGTAGGGCTGAGCGAACCCCACACCTCGATGAAGCGACAAAGGTCGCAGGAGGGGGAATCCTCCCTCGGCAAGAAGCCTCGAGTCGGAGCGGCACCGATGTTTGGCGAAATCGCTAAACTCGCCAGCTCAATTGAGCTCGTGGTATACGATAGCAGCAGGGGAGGTGGAGCCATCTCCCATGATGAGTGGGAGTGGGTAGCGGCTGCTATCTCCGCTTTGTTCATGAAGGTGGTCAGGGGAAGCCCTGGACCACCCCCTAGATGTGAAAGTGCCGGGTGGAACCTCGGCTTACACAAACTTATAAGGTGTGCCAACGAACGGTCGGCATTCCTTTATAAGGAGGCAGTAGCCAGGTTGGGGGAAGGATGGAAGGGAACAAGGCTCGAGGCGGTGGCCAAATCGGATCTTCCGATGCGACCTCGTGTTCGTGTCTGGCTTCCGGCCGAACCCTCTACCCCGACCGAAATTGAGGAGATATTGCGGTACTGCAATCCATTTCTTCCCACCCAAGATTGGAAGGTGGTTAGGCTGGAGAGGACCATATCGGCGAGCGCTGATACTCCTAAACAAGGAGTCCCTCGCTCTTCTCAGCATTGCAAAGGGGGCCATAAGCTATGGCTTCGAGAGGGTCGTCCTCAGGATTCTCCCAACTGAAGCCAGGGATGTTGGCCCGTCGCCACCAGCTGAGGTGGAAGAGAGTGGGAGAGTGACCCACTCTAAAATGGACATCGACCCCATCCTCTCGGATACGGTGAGCACGGAGGGCGGATCGTCAGGCGATGATGGATCCGTCTTCAGTCTCGAGCGCCTGTTCGAGGATGCTGGGGTCGATAATACGGATGATGGTGCGGAGCTCGCACTGCTGGAGAGGAGTTTGGAGGATGAGGATCCTCCAAATTAACCTCCAGCACTCAACGGCGGCCTCCGCCGATCTAGTGCTTCGTCTAGGACGGGACGAAGCCGACGTTGTCCTTATCCAGGAACCGTGGCTGAGCAGAAACGGTATCTCTGGTCTAAGGACAAAGAGCCACAAGCTCCTGGCGGCAAACAGTACAGGTAGAACCAGAGCCTGCTTGTTGATCAGAAACGAACTTACCGTTTTTCTTTTGCTTAATTTCAGAAACGAGGATGTCGTCGCTGCTAGACTGGAGGACAGCGCCGAAGAACTCTGGCTTGTTTCAGCCTACATGCCGCACGACGACGAGGTGGAGCCACCTCCGTACCTGCTTAGAAGAGTTTTGGCAGAGGCCAGGCGCAAAGGGACCGGAGTCTTAATAGGCTTGGATGCTAATTCAAGGCACACCGTCTGGGGGAGCTCGGACATTAACGCAAGAGGTGAGTCACTTTTTGATTTTATTTGTAGTGTAGATCTTTCTATATGTAATAGGGGGAACAGCCCTACCTTTGTGACTGCTAGCAGGGTGGAAGTCCTGGACGTTACGCTAGCCTCTAGGGAAATCGTTCCCTTAATTTCAGAATGGAGGGTTCTAGACGACCATTCATTCTCGGATCATAAATATATTGGGTTCAGCTTAAAAGCCTCACGCCCGGAGCTCAAAACCTATAGAAATTTTAGGAATACCAACTGGGTCCTGTACTGCAGGAAGCTTCGATCAGCTCTTCCCATCGCACCTGACAGGGATTGGATCCTATCGGCGGATGCGGTCGATGAGCTCGTCGACTTTTGGTGAACTTCGGAGCTAACGGAGATCAGATCTTCGAGCAGAAGACTTTTCAACAAAGCCCGTAAAAGCGGCTCTAGTGACGACTGGGCGTTGTACAAGGCCGGACTGGCCATCTACAAGTCCGAATTGAAGAAAGCCAAGAGAGCTTCGTGGGAAGCCTTCTGCGGTAGTGTAGAGGGCTGTCATGAGTCCTCACGAATCAGGCGCATTCTTGCAAAAAATTCTACTCCAGTGGGGTATCTAAGAAATGTAGATAACGGGTGGACTACGAGTAGTGAGGAGTCGCTGAAGCTACTCCTGGATGCTCATTTTCCACTAAATCACTCTGCTGAAGAAGTGGCCCTGGGGGAGCTGCAGGAGGGCCGTACAGCCTTCTTGGAGCTTCTGGACGATTGTCACCTTACCTGGGCATTGAAATCCTTTAAACCCTTTAAGTCCCCGGGGCCCGATGGCATTATTCCAGCGCAATTACAGCGTACGATTAAGATGTCATTGAACTGGCTGGCCCCTATCTACGCGAACTGTGTCAGACATGTCCCGAAGGTCTGGAGACAGGTTAAGGTTACTTTCATTCCGAAGGCCTGTCAAAAGCTCTCACGTCGGTGCAAAAGATTTCAGACCCATCAGCCTATCCTCGTTTCTGTTGAAAACATTAGAGAGGCTTATGAATCTGTACATTAGGAGCAGAATACCGAGGGGTAAACTGTTACGGGCGCAGCATGCATATATCAAAGGCAGGTCGGTCGACACTGCTTTGCATGATGTAGTGTCATGGCTGGAGATAGCTCTCAAGCACAAGGAATTAGCTGTGGGCACCTTTCTCGACATCAACAATGTGCGACCAGAGGCAGTGGTTAAAGCCCTCGAAAAGTTTGAGGTGGAATCTAACCTCAATCACCTTATTTTTAGTCTTCTTTGTGACAGAACTGTCGCAGCGGAGTGGGGTGGTGCCAAGACAACCAGAAAAGTTAGTAGGGGAACTCCGCAGGGGGGAGTACTCTCCCCACTGCTCTGATAATGGTGGTAAACGACCTACTAATAGAACTCGAGACGCAAGGCTGTCGGGTGACAGCCTACGCTGATGATGTGGTTCTTATGGTTAAGGGAAAGTTCCTGAATACCGTCTACGAGCTCACCGAGGGGTACCTGAACGTGGTATCTAGCTGGGCGAATAGAAGCGGCCTAGCCGTCAACCCAAGTAAAACCGAAATGGTTTTATTTACCAGGAGGTATAAGATACCAGATGTGCCTCTCCCCTCCTTCGGGGGTTCACTTCTTCAACCTGCTGAGAAAGTGAAATACCTAGGGCTGCAAAGGAGCTATATTGAAAAGGTGAGGACTCTCACCTAAGGTGGTGGCTCTACGAAACCGTAGTTAAGCCAATAATGTTCTATGGTGTGTTCGTCTGGTGGAGGGCGCTCGAAAGGTCCACACTGGCTAAAAAGCTTGAAAGGGTCCAAAGAGCGGCGCTCATCGGAATCTCCGGTGCACTGCGGACCACACCTACAATAGATCTTAATGCTATTTTAACATAGCACCTGTGGACATTGCCGGTAGGTGCATTGCCGCGAAGTGTGCTCTAAGGCTCAGGTAAGCTGGGCTTATGAAGAGGTCCGAACAAGGACACTCCGAAATTTTTTCTTGCTTCAGCGGCATTCCGGAAAATATAGATCACTGCGTCACTGAGGCCACTCGAGGCGGCTCCTTCTCCGCTCATATTCCAACGAGGGACATGTGGATGGGAAGAAGCCGCTGGAGAAGAGGCGCGGTGAGTTTTTCACGGAAGGATCGAGGCTAGGAGAGAAAGTTGGAGGGGGGATTTTCTGCAAGGAGCTCTCCGTCAGTCTTAGCTTCAGGCTACCGGATCACTGTAGTGTTTTTCAGGCGAAAGTGGCTGCTATCAAGGTGGCGTTAGAAGTACTACTGCGTAGTGCAGCCTCGTTTGTAGAAGTGAGCATCCACTCCGATAGTAGGGCGGCAATACTAGCTTTGCGCGCGAACCGTGCAATCAAAGCTAGTCAAGGAGTGTTTGTCCTCTTTAGAGATAGCGTCTGGCTATTTCAACATCAGGCTCGTTTGGGTGCCTGGTCACAGCGGAATCGCTGGAAACTGCAAAGCTGATGAGCTAGCCAGGAGGGGCACCTTTGCCCCGCTCACATCGGAATGGGCACTCAGCAGACGCTGGTCGACGACTAGGTCCTGTGCGACCGCGAGATCCTTCTGGCTAAGAGTGGATCGCAGGAGGTCGAGGGAACATCTCGCCCTGAGCAAAGTGCATCTCGCCGCTATGATAGGAGTTCTCACTGGACACTGTCCAATGGGCACTCATGCGGTACGGCTTGGTGTACTACCTGATGCTAGTTGCCAAAGTTGCATGGATGAGGGCGAGGTGGAATCATCCCGGCACTTTCTCCTCCAATGTCCGGATTTCGCTAGGCTGCGATTGAAATATCTCGGCAATCACACTTTTGGCGGACCTGAATACTTATCCGAAATGGATATTGGCCGTCTTAACAAGTTTGTAGTAAGCACAAAGCGTCTCGTCGACTTGTAAGGGTCTTTTGATCCAGATTATAGGAGTTTTGTAGGTATCACAATGGACCGGCGTTTAAAGCTGTCCAAGTGGGATCCTTTTTGGGATCGACCTCATAACCTTACCTAACCTACCTAGTGGTACCCTATTAGGGTATAATGATATGTATCGTATGTACTTGTATATAGTGAATATGTATGTAAACGTGCGTTATTTAGATATAAGTAAGATGTTGTGAATTCGGATAATGAGTAGTAAAACGTTAAGTTGTTTGGATTAGAAATATAGATAAGTGTATATGAATTAAATATTGACTTTTATTTAACAATCCAGTGATCGAACTCAAGAGTGAGATATAGATAGACGATTTATTAAGAAATCCGTTACAATACAAAGTACTAGTTAACCAATAGTTAAAATTTTTGGTAACCAACGTTTAAATAATAACTGTGAATTCGGCCCTTAACCGTTCACTTAATTGGCAACTATGTTGTCAATAGATAAAATTATTTATTAAAAAATTACCCGTAAAATTTTTTTATTTATTTCAGAAAGATTTTTTCACAATAAACTAAACAATTAGCTCTAGTTCATGAACTAACAAATATGTTTACGTGTTAGTTTACAATTTACATGCTGCTCTATGCTACTTCTTCTACAATCAAAAGAATTAAGTCACAAGATGACGGTTGGCGTAATCTTGTATTCTATCATTCTTGAAAGTAACAAAGTTTTTAACTTATACACGAGTGAACAGTAACATGGGGTACGTTCGAGATGGCAACCATGACAGCAGTGTTGCAAATTTGTCATAATGGCGCCATCTATATGTCGACTAGTGCGTTAGAATCTGCTATCCCTTATCGACTTCCAGTAAATTTCATGACATTTCATCTATTGAAAGTGAAGTTATTGCGTATTAAGTGTCAGTATGTTTTTGTCATCGGTGCGAAAATGAGCTTCAAACAAAGAGCCAACATTAAATTTTATTTTAAAATTGGTAAACTTTTACCGAAATGTTTCAATTGATGAAACAAGTTTATGTGAAGAGAAGTCAAAAGTGAAGACAATGCTGATTTGTTTTTATGATTCCAAGGGTTTTCGCCACAAAGAATTTGTTCCACCCGGCCAAAACGTTAATGCGGTATTCTACCTTGGAGGTTTGAATCGTTTGATGCGCTGTATTCGACGTGTTCCGCCCGAATATCGCGAAGATGGAAGTTGGCGTTTGTTGCACGATAATGCGCCGTCTCATCGATCGACGCTTGTGGCCGATTATTTGACCAAAAACCAAATTTTAACAATCAACCACTGATATGACAGATATGAAGTCGCACTCCTACCTTTTCGGAAAATTCATTTGCCGATGAAAGAAAAGCGTTATGCAGACGTGGGGGCCATTCAAAAGGCTTGCACCGCTGTATTAAAGCAGAAGGAGAATATTTTGAATAAAATTAATTGATTTTGCCAATTTGGTAAGTATGGTTATGTTAAAATTTTTATAACCGTATATCCTTTTTATTATAATATATAATATATTATGAATCTCTTTTTTTTGGTTTTTGGATTACAGTAAAATTCAAATAATTTAAATCGTGCTGAAGTTGCGGGCAAAACAGGTATGTACATGTTGATGAGTGCTTTTACGTATCAACTCTCGATAAGTGAAAATGAAGTGAAAAATGTGCGCAAATTGTGTTTAACTCAGTGAATTATCATAAATTTAGAAGTTAAAATTTTAGGCTTGAGGGATGTAATATATTTCTTAATCTAGACAAATTTTATTTGTTAAAGTTTTTATTTAATTTATTTGTTAAAGTTTTACTTTTGGCGCTACCATTATTGATTGCGGCTTTATATATCGGTGTATTACAAAGCGTTTTTATTGTTTTCTTTTTATCTTTTTACTTTCAACAATAGTGATAACCAAAGAAATGGCGAATTGATATATTCCAAGTGTCGGAGGTAGAAGCTGTGCATAAATCGGTTGAGACGGAAATGAATGCTGTGCTGAAGTTCTATGGCTTGTCGTAAACTATCGTCCTTTAGACTTGTGTGCGGTAATGGCAGTAAGTAAATTATACCATATATTCTAGATGTGATATATTTTGTAAAAGAGGCCATATATCGGCATTAAAATAATATAATGGAATGAATAATATAATCATAACTGGCCAATATTGTATATTTTCATGTTGATTATGTATATATACTTATTTTTTGGAATTTTTATTAAAAGTTGTTTTATATGGTTTATATAATATAAGCACAAAATTTAAAGTAAAAGATTTCTTCATAATAACATAATATCTCTTGTTTGGTTAGAAAATGTCATCAGCTGAGAATTTAACGTTTTCCTTAGCTATCTCAACATAGGTAACCCATGTTAATCATTTGTTTGGTAACCAATAGAATGTTAAGGTAAACAAACAAAATGTTACGGATATTAACCAATGTTAACGTGTAGCCAATTAAACCACCGTAGATAACGTATCTATGTTAAGTACCTTGATAAATATTGTAGCCCTCAACTTTTTATATGAGTTGTGTACAAACTGGCATGCATTTTTTTCTAAAATAGAATGTAGATACTTTACTTTAACATATACAAATGAAAATAACAATTAATTATTTTTTATTCATATTAGATATTTGCAAATTACGATGGAAAGTTCCAAATCTGGACTTCAATATTCCCCTTTTTAGTTTTAAATTATAAAATTTAAGTTACCTATTAATAGTATTAATTATTTTAAAATATTATTGTTTAATTAGGATACATGTATGTACCTAATACTATCTGCGCACCGACACAAAATTCTTGTTTTCATAGACAAAAGAGGTTTTCACGCGAAAACTTGTGTTTTCATCCATACAAAATCTGTCAAACGAAAACACAGTTTTCGCTAAAAACCCCTTGAAAACATACATTCCACTCATTATAATCGGTGCCTGCTCTAGTTTAATGGATATTATTAGAAAACATACTTTGCCAGCCCTAAATGTCAGTTAACAATTTGTTTACATTCCATAATTGGCATAAACGTACCCTACAAGAAACTGCATTTGCATTTTTAAATTCAGAACTATCCACTGATTGGAAAAAGACGTACACAAAGCTATTGCGAGGAAATGATGACATCAAGTGAAAATTTATTTTTATATTTTCATATTTTATTAAATTTTTTGTTGCATTCCTTTTTATAAAAATAAAAAATATATATTTTTTATCTACTACACAAAAGAATTTTTCACTTCTGACAGCGTTTCAGTCATAACTGACAATTTTCAGCTATGACGGATTTATGGTCAGCAAGGACTCAGAAAAAACAAAACAAACAAACAAAAAGAAAACAAGGCTCTTAAGAATATGATAGAAACTTTGATCTGCGCGCTGACAAAATTTTTTCAGCTATGACTTTCATATTACGAACCAGATGACCGTTACTGTTCTTGTAGCGTACATAACAAATGTTAACAAATATATGTGTGAACTGTTAATGAAAACTCATCAAAAACACACAATGTCGGTCAGAACGACTTTGGCTCCATAATCCACAAATTGTGTTTTCAAGAGGATTTCAATTTGGTGCAAACATAGTATAATGTGCGAATATTAACAATTAGTAAATTAATGTAACTATTATTGTAAACTATAAAATTTTAACAATTAAAATTAACTATCAGTAAACCATATAAGGCTTTTAACAAAAAAAAGTTGTGATAATGTAGTATATATCATATAATATAGAGGTAGCCAATGAATAACCAAACAAATAACCCATATAAGCAGACGAGGTACTCTATCAACCAGTTTTCTGTAACCAAACAAATAACCTATGCACCAGTTTTCTGTAAATTATAGGTAACCATTGCAATAACCAAACAAACTATTTTCAGTAACAGATGGCTAACCAAGCAAATAGCCAATGAAAAGGACGCTGTTAACCAAAGAGTAACAGATAGTTTTCCAAAATAGTTGGCATAACTAATGCATTAATTACTAACTTTTACCCGTCTTGTAGGGTTGTCATTGAAGTTGGCGATGTTCTTGTGTGGTCATGTGCTATCGTGAAGTAATCACTCTTCAAATGAAGTCGGTTAGGTATGTTCCAGCTGATATAGCGCATGTTTTAGCTCTTGAACCGTATAAAAATTTTATGAGGATGACAAAAGTTATGTGGAGAATGAAAAAAGTCGAAATCTAGTTATTTCTACAAATGTATTTTTTGGAAAAATAAGATCTCATATATTAAGACTAAATAATTGTTGCATAAAGTTTATTTACCAATTCCATAATTAAATATGAGCATTGATATTTACATATGCTATCAATTATCATTAAAATATTAACCATACATATGTATGTACTTAACTACTATTTTCCATGTTTTGTATAAATTTATGTGTAGAATATTACTTTGCTAAATTGCACTTTACGCAACAAAACATAAAACACGAGGCATTGGCATTTCATCTTAGCTGATATCATGCGACCGGAATTATATATTCATGTACATGTTGCCTGTTCATAATTGTGTGGAAATGAAAACAGCTCTGTCAAGCCACCAAAATTACAGATCTTTGCTAGCTATCGATGGCATGAAATATATTTTGAAATCAATTGCTGAACTTTAGCAATGTGCAGTCTCATTTGGCAATATTGCCAACAATACAGATATTTAGCAATCTTAACTTGCTTGTCGAGATGCCCCGTATGAGAGGAAGGAGTGATCACACGTAAGTATTCAAAGTATTAGAATTTTTTGTGAATGTTGGCTTAGACACTTAACGGAAATCTTTCTGATTATTTACGAAAAATTTACCCGCAGTTGGCAGGCGAACTGCGCTTTTCACCCCAGTCACAGTAAGAATTTTAGTATTCTATCTAACGATTATCGTTAGCACCAGGGATAATGGGATGCCCAACTCTTTCCAGTGTGAGAGCGCCTCAAAATTAGCGTTTTTTTTATAACATTTTCCATTGTAGCCAGATCAGACAAAATAATAGTTTTTGGGCATTTAAATTAAAATAACCATTTTGCAGTTTCCATCTCTCTTTTTTTGGCATGGCAGAGGAATTAAGGAATAAACTGTACAAATATCGCCTTACAAAACAGAGGCAGAAGGTATTTCAGATATTTAAATCAAAATTCCGTGAATTCTGGATGCTGGGTATGAGACAGCCTAGTTTGAGTAAGGGAGAACAAATCAGCATTGATGTAATTGTGAGTTTAGTGTTCGCAGATAATATTGATTTCTGTATGTATATTAAATGTACTTATATGTATTTAAATAATTTCAATACCAATAGGAAACTGATGTTGATGGGACCAAATTTCAAAACCTGAATTCAAATGTTGAATTTACTAAGAAAGTGGAACATGCATTGCCAGAGAGCTCTGATGATGAAGATGAAATGGGTACAGTATCTGAAGAAAAATCTTCATCAGATCTCTTCAGATATGCCTTAAGTGTAATGGTTACATTGTTTTGGATAACCCTCTATTTTATTGCTATAAAATTACAATTTGGAACGGTTTATTTAATGATCTCAGCATTGATTGCAATTTATTTAAATACGAGAACTACACCGAAAAAAAATAATGAAATCAGTGCTTATAGTGTATTTAACGAAAATTGTGAAAGTATAGCTGGAACGTTAAAAGCTGATCAGTTTGAGCGTGAAATTATATACGGCATTCTTAATAAAAATTAACTTTTCAGTGATGCATACTTGGCTCAGTTAAAATCCGATAAAAACAAACGTCAACCACATTTAACTTATGTTTTATAAATAATAATGCATCGAAAAATGACATCCTTTGGATTGTTGGAAGATTGGGTTTAAAATAGCATCTCCCGAATTTGGAGGAATTAAAATGAGTGTGATAGAGGACGTTCTCTAGATTGGTTGTCGCTGACTTACGGTTATTGAGATATTTTCTTTTAAAGTTCAAAAATTCAACTATTTAAGTGTGTTTCTTTGATTTATCGTGAATTTTACACTTAAATTTTTCACTTTTATATTCACTAAAACTACTCTAATTCGTTTCTACACATTTGTTTTGTATTAAATATTGCAAAACTAACTTTCATATAATATTTAACTTTGGTTCAAATCCATTTATTCATGCAGTAACAAAATTGTTGCATGCAAACAAAAAATAAGTGTCACCGTATTTTGCAAACGATAAAAAATAAATAAAAAAGATAAATTATATCGTCAGAATTTCTTTTCTCTTGGTAAATCCTGTTGTTGGATCGATCAGGATTGTTTTTGTTTTTTTTTGTTTTTGAAACGCGGCCCAAGGTCTTCAATACATAATGGAATTCTACGCAAAAAACTAAAAATGTGTTATTTCTTTCTTGTCATTAGGGTATTATTTTTTCTTTTAGTTCCTTTGTAAAATATGTAGATAAGATAACACTGATTATTTATTAGAATGTTAGATATTGAATTAAAGTTATTTATGTATTACTTAGTATAAAAAGCAAATATCTTAAAAACCATAAGCCAGCGGCAACTTAATTTTTTATATAAGTTATATTTTTATTAAATTTTACTGTTCCTTTATTCGGTAGCGACGGTGTTGTCGACTACCCACGAACTATTTAAATACTAGTTATTTTTTTATTATCACCACTTTTACTTTGTTCGGTAGCGACGGTGTTGTCGACTACCCATGAACTATTTAAATAATATTCCGTTTATGCGATAGCGACGGTGTTGTCGACTACCACGGAATTATGTTATTTTAAATAAACACAAGTTGAGTTCCGTTCTAAAATGTTTTATTAAAATTACATTTATCTTATTTATAACCTACTATTACTATCGCCGCTACTGCCATTGACGCTGCTTTCCTAAGTTTCTGCTGACGCCTAAGCTTGTGTAAGACATTGCGTTACATCCACCGGTCGGTGGTTACTGCAAGGTGTTGAATTGCGGCTGTCGGTCATTCAAAAATCCAAACTGCAATTTTGGCAGTTCAAGAGACTGACTTAGTTAACTATTGTTAACTTATATTTTCTTAAACAGGAGGACCCCTATCCGCTCATATCCATTTCAACCAAATTCGGGGATGCTATTCTAAAATTTAACCTTGTTGGATTTTAAACGCAAATACAGGGTAGCGCACGAATCGTGCCACAAAAACAAAACGTAATAACTTTTTAATCAATGCATTACATTTATTTTTTTTATTGTATAGAAGCGTTTCGTATATGACCTTGCTCAGCCACTCGTATGCGATACCTAATTAGAAAGTTATTCATTGCGGCCTGAAGGGTTGAACTCCTGATTACCTCAATTATTGATTTAATGGACTGCTTCAAATCTGCCAGATTTCTGGGTTTTGTTTTGTTCACCTCTTGATTGACATAACCCCATGAAAAGTCTGGTGCAGTCAGGTCAGGTGATCTTGGGGGCCAACGGGAGGTGGAGTCTTTATAATAGTTTGTTTTCTAATTTTCGATGGAGCTCCGCAATAACCGGTCTGGCTATGTGAGCTGCCACGGAGAAGGACGGAAATGACGGACTGCAAAGCATGCTGCCGCTGCATTATCTAAACCCTCTTTTCGGTATCCAAAGTCAATTGTAAAAAATTTAAATAATAACCTGCCCAATAAAAAAGTAAGTCAATTGCCCACACAAGTTATTACGGTTTATTTTTGTAGCACGATTCGTGCGCCACACTGTATCTTACAAACATCTGTGGCTATATACAGTTACTGACAATGAAGTGCTCCGCCTTTAGAATACCGTGCGTATATTTGAAGTTTAAAATGAATTTTACACTTATATTTTTCCACTCCACTAACACTTCACTAATTCGTTTGTACATATTTATTTTATATTATATAGTTCAAAAATAGCTTTCTTTCTATGTATATTTAACTTAGTGTTCAATTCTATTAATTAACACAATAACAAAAGGGTTGCTAAATGACAAGTATCCAGTATTACCTTATCGACATCTTTTGTAAATGAATTGAAAGAAATAAAGAACACAATTAAAAATTTCAACTATTTAAATTTGGTTTTTTTACCAATATAAAATGAGCTTATATATTTCTCTTTTAGTTATATCCACTATTATTTTACATTATATAGTGCAAAAATAGCTTTAATTAAAAATTTAAGTTACTGTTATATTCAATCAGACAATAACAAAACGTTTGATAGGAAGATTATACCCCAAATACAGGAACCATCATCGGCGATGTATAATGAACAATTCCCACAACAGCCGGAATTGACCCGGATTTTATCCGGCTAAGGGCTGTTATTTCGGCGATCTAACCCTGTTTGGATCGGTAAGTTCTAGATTAAGTTTGTCGTCATTGGAGCAACGCCTAGTAGCAAGGTTGCTCCGTACCGAGGAATTTTATTGCTGCGTTTGCGCTAGAAGGCTCCATCCAAACTCCACCTCGGTTAGGTGCAATACATGCAATGGATGGAACCATCTTAAGATCTGTTCAGGCCTTAAGATACACAAGGAGTGGACCACGAGTTACGTGGCCCCAAGCTGTCAACGCAATACTGCGACATTTGCTTCAAAGGCTGTGCAACCTGCACCATGTTCGCGCACTGCGCCGCCACTCCAGACGAATGGCCAAGATAGGGCCTCCACGGCCCTAAGGAGCTCACACAGACAGCATGACTCCCAATCTGACCAAGTTAGGCACCTTCAACGCACTACCCATTCCTACGGACGTCATCGTTGGCGAGCGTCAATTCCGCAAGTTGATCGCCGCTGCTACTGCTCGCTCCATACCGGCTGGAAGAACCGCGGAGTTCCGCCTTAATTTCCCAGCCGAAGCAGCTGTACTGGCAAACGAGCGCGACACCTTACGCCATGCCGATCCCTGTGATCCCCGAATAAGGGATCTCAATTTGGATATTCGGCAAATGGTAAACCATCATAAGCGGACAAAATGGATAGAGCACCTGAAGTCCTGCAACCTCTCCACCGGTGTATGTAAGCTTTGAACTACTGTCAAGGCCCTTCAAATCCTAGGAAACATGATGATCGGGTTGAAATTCAATTCGATGGCCATGCCTCCTCGGACCCGAAGAAGTGCGCGAGCTATTTTAGCCGGCAGTTTACACTGTACCCTTCGACTGACAAGGCCAAACCATGTGTTACCCGACGGCTGCGCAAATGCGAAAAGACTGCGCACCACTTACTTTCACCGATGGGGAGGTTCAGTTTGTCATCACAAAGGCTTAATCGTCCAAATCCATTGGCCCTGACTGAATAAGCATGCTGATGCTAAAACACCTAGGCCCAACGGGAGTGAAATATCTCACCAAGGTCCTCAACTTGTCGATATCCACTCTTCAAATACCCTATGTGTGGAAAGTCGGAAGAGTGGTCCCACTACTGAAGCCTGGGAAACCCGCCAACAAAGGGGAGTCTTATCGGTCGATAACTCTCCTTTCCCCAGTAGTGAAGACACTTGAGGCCTTGTTACTCCCGACGTTCACTCACCACCTTAGCCTAGAAGAACATCAGCATGGCTTCCGGAAAGTGCACAGCACCACCACAGCACTTAGCGTCATAAGCGCCTGGATAGTTCATGGCCTTAACCAGACGCGAAAGCCTTCGACATAGTCAACCACACAACGCTACTTGAGGACATCGAACAATCTACGCTCCCTCCAGGGCTGAAGCGGTGGATCATGAACTACCTGAGCGGTCGGCAATCATCCGTACTATTTCGGGGTCAAAACTCCAAACTGAGAAGAATTAAATAGGAAGTTCCACAGGGTGGTGTCCTCTCCCCTTTACTGTATAACTTCTACATCTCGAAACTCCCTCAACCACCAGAGTGAATTTCCGTGACCTCGTACGCTGATGACTGCACGATGTTGACGTCGGGCAATGGAATTGATGGCATGTGCTCGAAAGTAAACAGCTATCTCTCTGATCTTTCTCGCTTCTTCTCTGCAAGGAGTCTGACACTCTCCCCTACTAAATCCACAGCGACCATATTTACGAACTGGACGAAGGAGTACAGACTGGATCTAAACATTTCAGTCGATGGCAACAAAATTCCGACAGTAAACAACCCTTAAATTTTAGGCGTTACACTAGACAATCTTTGCTAAAGTACAGAGCCGCAACAAAACCCTCAAATCGCTTGCCGGCAGCTCTAGGGGAAAAGACAAAGAAACGTTGCTGGCGAGATACAAGGCAATCGGCCGGCCGGTCCTAAATGATGCAGCCTCAATATGGTTGCCTGGATGTAGTGCCACGCAGACGAAAAAGCTCTAGACCTGTCAGAACTTTGAACTCCGGACTATCACGGGATGCCTCTTGATGTCCCCAATTGAACACCTACACAGTGAGGCCCGTATGCTTTCGATTAAGGAACATAACGAGCTCCTCTCCAAGCAGTTTCTGCTGGGATGCTTTCGTAGAAACCACCCCTGCAGTCGTCTGCTTGTAGCAGAGCCGCCTCCCAGAAGCATCAAGAGGTCCTTTCTTGATTACGTCGACGACATTAGACAGTACACCGACCGGACTTCGGACGCAACGAACTTCAGACAGGCACTGATCGCCATTCACAGTGGAGCCATCAACACCTTCACCGACTCCCTCTCAGTGAATGGCGTACTAAGCGATTTGCCTCGCGAAACCAGAGTGACCCTCGCGCAACTTCGTTCTGGATATTGTAGCAGGTTAAACTCCTACTTATCCAGAATAGACCCCGACATACCAAACACATGTCCTGCGTGCAATGAGTCTCCGCATGACACTGACCACCTCTTTTCTAATGGTGTCTTATTTATTTCCTGTCATTGGGATATAATCTGTTTTCTTTATTTCCTCCAGTTCATTTTCAAAAGATGTCGATAAGGTAACACTTGCTATTTGTCAGTATGCAATCGTCTTGTTATTGTGTGAATAACATAAAAACATTATCGGGTGTTTTTTTTTCGAGGTATAGAACTTTAAGTTGGCATTACTGTTCAAGATTACGACCGATTTAACAGCTGTCAAGTGATTTATTGTCAGTTTGGTTTGGCAATTCATCATGAATCATTGTATAAGCCTACTAGATTTATACAAAGTCAGTGAGTCTATTCATGCCTGAACAACGCTTGCAGATAGTGCCATTTTATTTCGAAAATAATGGTTCTGTGCGGAATACGTATCGCGCACTACAAGTATGTTCAGTTTATCGTTGACTGGATTTGGTTGAATGGCTACGTCAACAAACAAAACTGCCGCATTTGGAGTGAAGCTAATCCTCAAGTGTATGTCGAAACACCGTTACATCCAGAAAAACTGACTGTTTGCTGCGCTGGTGAAATCATTCGTCCGTACTTCTTCAAAAACGATGATGGCCAGAACGTGACAGTCAATGGTGATCGGTATAGAGTCATGATTACCTTTTTCATTCCTGAATTGAACAACTATGATGTCCAGGAGCTATGGTCCCAACAAGACGGCGCAACATGTCACATAGCTCGTGCCACAATCGATTTATTGAAAAACACGTTTGGTTACCGCCTAATTTCACGTTTTGGACCTGTGAATTGGCCTCCAAGATCTTGTGATTTAACACCGCTAGACTACTTTCTGTGGGGTTATGTAAAGTCATTAGTCTATGCACATAAGCCATAAACGCTTAACCATTTGGAGGACAACATTCGCCGTGTTATTGCCGATATTCGGCCACAAATCTTGGAAAAATTCTTCGAAAATTGGACGTCCATATTGGACTACATCCGAGCCAGCCGTGGCGGTCATATGTTAGAAACCATATTTAAAATGTAATGCCACAAGATTATCTTTCGGATAAATAAAATGCATGTCAATCGAATAATCCATCGTTGTTTTATTGCAACTTAAAGGTCTGTACCTCTAAAAAAAACACCCGTTATAAGCCTAGATTTATACAATGGTGAATAAATAGTATTGAATCAAAACTTAAATATTGAATATAAGCCATTTTTGGAATATATAATGTGAAATAAATGTGCAGAAACGAATTAGTGAAGTGTTAGTGGATATAAAAGTAAAAATAAAAAAGTGTAAAGTCTATCTAAAATTAAAACAAGTAAGGAAGCCCTAAGTTCGGATCTAACCGAACATTTTATACTCTCGCAAAGTCAAATGGTATACTCGTTTTAGATTTCTTTGTGGATCTTGCCGTCTTGTTCTATGTTGACCGATATTTTCGGTAAAAAGTAAGCTCTTGGCACTGGGGTCCACATATTAAGTACCTATGGGCTTGAACAGTTTTGGTTCAATTTAGATAATTTTTGGTCTCAAGGTGGCATACTTTAAACGTATTATTCACGTAAAGATTTACCCCGATATAATCATTGTTGCTTGATTTGCATACTGGAAAGTGAAAAAATCAAATGAAATTTAAAATGATGTTATATGGGAGATAGGAGTGGTTGTAATCCGATTTCTTTTTCCATTTTCGTACTATAAGATAGATATATGAGAAAAATATTATGTACCGAATTTGTTTGAAATCAGTTAAGCAGATCTCAAGATATGGGTTTTCACCTAAAAGTGGGCGGTGCCACGCCCACTATCTAATTTTGAACGTGATTCCTACAAAATCATTTTATACCATCCCAGAGATAAAATTTAATGTCTCTGGCTTGCTTAGTGCTTGATTTATCGCGCTTTTAGTAGTTTTTAACAATACCGTTATGTGGGGAGTGGGCGGGGTTGTCACCCGATTTCACCCATTTTCACACCGTCGATAGAGACATCTAAATATGGCGGTAGAAAACTTATAGTTTTCGAGATATTTACGCTAAAAGTTGAAAATTTCAACTATTTAAAATACGCATTTTTTCAATTTAAAATGAATTATACACTTATATTTTTCACTTTTATATCCACTAATACTTCACTAGCTCGTTTGTACACATTTATTTTACATTATATAGTGCAAAAATAGTTTAATTCAATATATAAATTATTGTTAAACTCTATTAATTCTGACAATAACAAAAGGGTTGCAAAATTTCAAATAACCAGTGTTACCTTCTCG